TTCCTCCTCCCCAGGTGCAGGACCCTACACTTGCCCTTGTTGAACCTCATGAGGTTCCTCTCTGCCCAGCTCTCCAGCCTGTTCAGGTCACACTGGATGGTGGCCCAGCCCTCTGGAGTGTCAGCCGGTACTCCCCAGTTTGGTACCATCAGCCAACTTGCTGAGGATACACTCTGTCCCCTCATCCAGGTCATTCATGAATATGTTGAACAAAACTGGACCAAGTATTGACCCCTGGGGGTTTACTAGCCCTAGGGATGGGATCTGTTTTTCCACCCCCTCTGCACTTAAAGCCCAGGTGGCTCTAAGTGTGTCAGGACTCTGCCAAGTGAGGAGCATCTTCACCAAGGTCCGTGGCACTGGCCACTCTCCCAGCTGGGCATTTCAGTTCAATGGGAGGGTCTTGGGGGAGCAGGGCAGAACCAGCTTTAGGAAAATAATCTAATCTGGGCATTGGTGATAATTCGCATCCCACCAAGGCCTGGCTGCAGAATCCTGAGCTCCTGTGGGGTCTCTGGGAATCAGCAGGTTTCAACATGAGGCTCAGAACCATTTTGTGCTGTGGTTTCTCTTTTGCTTTGATATCTCCATTTAAAGCGGTGGGCACACTAAAAATTAATGAGCAGATTTGGATATAAAGAGGTCTATAAAACAGGGATAACACTTAACTGCTTCACGGGGGGCATAAGGATTAACGAGTTAATGTTCGCAAAGTGCTTTGAAGATGAAAAGTGCTAAGTCTGATGGCATCTGGTGGGTGAAGCAGATGAGAATGAAGAAGAGGTTCTCAATTCCGTACCATAATTACGGAGGAAGCTGAGGGAACTGTGCATGTTTAGTTTGGAGAAGAAGAGGCTGAGGGGAGACCTCATTGCCCTCTACAACTACCTGGAAGGAGGATGTATAGAGGTGGGGGTTAGCCTTTTCTCCCAAGAGAATAATGCCAGGAGCAGAGGAAATGGTCTGAAGTTGGGGCAGGGGAGGTTTAGATTAGATCTGAGGAAGAATGACTTTGCTGAGAGGGTGGTCAGGCCCTGGAACAGCCTGCCCAGGGAGGTGGTGGGGTCACCATCCCTGGAGGTATTTAAGAAATGTGTAGAGGTGGCACTTCAGGGCATGCTCTAGTGCCTGGGAATGTTGGGTTGGGTCCGTTTGGGGGTGGGGTGTTTGGGATTCTGTTTTGTTTTGTTTTGTTTTTTGAGGTTGGACTCGATGATCTCAAAGGTCTCTTCCAACCGTGAGGATTCTGTGATTCAGTGAAATGTCCGTCCCCGCCGCCAGGGGGCGACCGCTCCCCCCCGCAGCGCTGCCGCCCCGCGCCCCCTGGCGGAGCGCTCCGTTCATTTCACCACCCCACCCCCCCCGTGCAAGGAATGGGCCGTCCCGGCGCCGCTCGCG